TCCTGAATCGGCCCAAAATCAGCCCGAAAAGCACCACACTTTCTGAATACTTAAAACCTGTCAGAATGCTGAAAATCGCCAGCCTGCACCTGTGCCCTCTTTCCCTTACCGATTTGCCACTTTTTATTGCCAGGCTAACTTCTAAGTCCAAAGTCTGTCTCAGACACTTCAGCCATGGAAAGCCTGCCAGTTTTCCTGAAACTATCTACCTTCAAACAAGAAGCATTAGGAATTGGCATGGAAGGCCGAAGAATCATCTAGCTTCATATTTTATTTAATCACATTCAGTACTTCAGCCAATGCATTGGCCTTAGGTGGATTCAATCACTTACATTTTTTTCCTCTTATTTTCTGTAGCGGTGTAGAGTTGATTGGCTGGCAGTTGACCAGACTATAAAGTAAGGGCAGAATTAACCCACAGGCAAGTCCTACCTTCTAGGTTCAGTTGATTTGATAGCCTACACTTAACCTTTCCTGTCGGTGTTGCTTGGACTAGGCTCTCCACTGGACAGCTGACTCATTCAAAGAATAAACTGGGTGTGAGTGATGCCCACACAGATTGTCCTGCACCCAGGTTCCCCACACCCAGCCTTCCTTGGCACTTGACCAGACTCCTGACAGGTGAGCTGTGCCCGGAGCACAGCAGTTGCCGCTCAGGACTGCTGGGCACGTGGCCATGGACCATATGCTTGGATACCTGCCCCACAGCGGGGTCCTGGCCAGTTTTCCCAGCCCTCAGGGCGCCTCAGGTCTTTTTAACCAACCATGTGTGTATAGATGATACCTGAAAGGCCATGCTAATAAAAATCAACACCAGCAGATGGGAGGAGTCCCACAAAACTGGTGCCCTACATCCAGTGTGGCACCGCTGCAGCTCCACGTAGATCAGTGGTGCTCTCTTCTCTCTAAATCTTGAAGTACAAATATTCATTTCCTGACTTGGTATTTTTTTGTTTTTTGTTTTTTGTTTTTTTTTTTAAAGGGAATGGTACTCACTGTAGATAAGTCGGGGACTATGAAAAGCCACACTGAAAGTAACACCAGCCAATATCAGTGTGCCTGAGATCTAGTCCCACCTCTGCTTCTGATCCAGCTTCCTGCTAGTACACCTGAAAGGCAGCAGATGATAGCCCAAATACGTGGGTTCTTGCTGCGCATGTGGGAGACCTGGATGGAGTTCCTGGCTTCAGCCTGGCCCAGTCCTGGCTGTTACAGCCATTCAAAGAGTGAAGTGGATGGGGAATCTGTCTCTTTCTCTCCCTTCTCTGTTACTCTGCCTTTAAAAAAAATAAAATAAGTAAAAGGGCTAGCAACTGGTCCCAAAAGCTTTAACCTAAAAGGTTTCATTCTGGGACCATAATAGCATCAGAGTAGTGAGTACAGAGCCTGCACTCTGCCAGCTACCTCGAATTTCGTCATCCCCAGTGAATGGAATACAGATTCTGCATGCACTGACTGAAACAAAACTGAGTCTTTATTCATGAAATGAAAGCTAGAAGCAAAGGCAAGAGTTTCTGAAGTCTTTGTGGATTCCTGGGACTTGCTGCTGGAGACAGGCACACCCTCTAGTAGTCGGGTAAGGACGGGATGCCCTCTGGTGTGTCTAATCCCCTGGCTGCAGCCCTGAGTCCTGCCAGCGGGTCCCACTCGCGATGGCGAGGAGAGTGAACAGGATTAAAGTTCACCAGGAATTAGCAGGGACTGAAGGAGGGAAACCAAACAACTTGGCTGATGGGCGTAAAATATTGCTCCCTGCTGCTCAGTGGGAAACCTTATGTTTTAAAGATGTCACTTTTTTCTCAGACCATTCTGAAGGTCTGAAGTCATTTTAACTGAATTTCTCTCTCTACATATATATGAGGGTACTTTAAAGTATTTGTAGGAAAATAGCATTAAAAGTGGTTTATTTTGGTGCAAAAAGTTTTGAAATCCATGCAGTTTTTTTAGAGTATGTACTTTCCAGACACTTTTAAAGTATCCTCATTATATACATATGTACAGAAAGCACATATGTACACATACTTGCTGTATGTAAAAGGATGGAAGGACTTGCCAAAGGGATTCAAAAAGTCATCTAGGGGCTGGCGTTGTGCAGTGGGGTAAGCTGGTTGGAATCCCAGCTGCTGTGTTTCAGATCCAGCTCCCTGCTAATGCACCTGGGGAAGCAGTGGAAGATGGTCGAAGTGCTTGGGCCCCTGCACCCACATGGGAGACCCAGATGGAGCTCTTGGCTTCTGGCTTTGGCCTGGACCAGCCCAAGATGTTGTGGCCATTTGGGGAGTGAACCAGCAGATGGAAGATCTCTCTCTCTCTCTGTCCCTCTGCCTTTCAAATGAATAAATCTTTAAAAAACAGAGCAAGCAAAGGTAGTCAGGCTGCCTCTGCAGCAGGGGTTTGGGGGTGGTTTCCTCAGTCCCCTCGGGTTTCCCAGGGAGCACCCACAGGAAGCCCCCTGTGGATCTATAACCTTCATCCCTTTGTCCTAAAGGCCTTCTCTCAACAGTCATTCTTTCTCTTAGTCTCCAGCTTTCTGAAGGCCAAACAGCAGCTGGGATTTTAATTGCTTCTCAACCTAAATAAAATTCCTCCAAGGAATGGGGAGAGCTGGCCTTCTGAGAGTGAGACGCTGAGAGGTGAACAGCACTGAGGTAGCAAACTGTTTTTTTTAAAGATTTATTTTATTTATTTGAAAGAATTACAGAGCTAGGTAGAGACAAAGAGAGGTCTTTCGTCCTCTGGTTCACTCCCCAGATGGCCGCAATGGCCAGAGCTGCGCCAATCTGAAGCCAGGAGCCAGGAGCTTCTTCTGGGTCTCCCACATGGGTGCAGGGGCCCAAGGACTTGGGCCATCTTCTACTGCTTTCCCAGGCCATAGCAGAGAGCAGAAGAAGTGGAGCAGCTGGATCTCAAACCGGCGCCCATATGGGATGCCGGCACTTCAGGCCAGGGCTTTAACCCACTTCGCCACAGTGCCGGCCCCAAGTTAGCAAACTTAAATTATGCTGTAGTGTATGTGACTCCCATTAAGAACCTTGGTTCTAGATTGTATTGATACAGTGTGGCAGCGGAGGGACACAGGCGAGACCCGGACTCTGAGCCTTTAAGATTGGCGTTAAGAGTCGGGGTGGGGTGGGGTAGGGCCCACAGGAGGAGAGAATTTCTTCCCCTTCCCAGGCTGAGCACTGTCTGAGTGCTGGCCCGTGGGGCTCCACTTCATCCCTGCTTTCTTTAGACTTTCCTCAGGATTAACTTAATCTCTTCCTGTTAAAGGGATGCAGATCTCTTCAGACTCCTCTCGGATGCTTCTGTTCTCCTAGTCTTTTCTTTTTGTGCTCTGACTTGATCTTAGTAGAAACCATCCTGGCTCCCTGTTAGTCTATTTCAGGCATCCCTGGGTCTTTTATTCCTACTCAGGTCTGCATTTAACACATGTTGGCAATTTCCTGCCCAGAGCAGGCCAAGGTGCACCTGTCATGGCACTAAGCAGCCCTGGCTGTGACACTTTCACAGTAGAGCTGGCCCTCTGCTTGAAAGGGTCCTGCAGCTACCTGTGGATTGAAAATCCTCAGGAAAAAACCGTGTACTGAACATGTACAGGCTTTTTTCATTATTCCCTAAATGATACAGTACCATAACTATTTACATAGTACTTAACATTGTTTTAGGTATTATCTGTGAGCTAGAGATGTTCTACAGTTTATAGGAGGTTCTATGTTTTATATAAGGGGCTTCTGTGTCCACAGGAGGAGAGGGAGGCCTGGAACCAGTCCCTCACTGATAGTCAGGGACAGCTGTCTGCACAACTAGGCAGGGACTCAGCCCATAGAAGGACACAGCCAAGGTCATTTAATATAGAAATAAATCATGAGCTCTATCAAACCTTTAAGATGTTGGTTTAATCACAAGCTGGAGTATATTTTGGTAGAATTTTGCACTAAGTATTTTTCAATAGACAAGGGGCATCTTTCTCTCAGTTCCTACTCTGTCTTTCATAACACAGAGTTGGGGGTGGGGGGCTTTCATGTGCTGATTCACTCCCCAAATGGCTGGGGACTGGGCCAGGCTGAAGCCAGGAGCCAAGAGCTTCATGTGGGTCTCCTGTGTGGGTAGCAGGTGCCCAAACAGCCAGACCATCTTCAGCTGCTTTCCCAGGCACATTAGCAGGGAGCTGGATCGGAAACAGAGTAGCTGGGACTTGAATTAGCACTCATATGGGGTGCTGGCACTGCAGGCAGTGACTTAACCTGCTGTGTGATAGCAATGGCCCCATGACCACTTTTTTTTTTTTTAAGATTTTATGTATTTTATTTGAGAGGTAAAGTTATAGACAGTGACAGGGAGAGACAGAGAGAAAGGTCTCCCTTCCGTTGGTTCACTCTCCAGATGATCGCGATGGCCAGAGCTGCGCCAATCCAAAGCCAGGAGCCAGGTGCTTCTTCCTGGTCTCCCATGCGAGTGCAGAGGCCCAAGGACTTGGGCCATCCTCTACTGCTTTCCCAGGCCACAGCAGAGAGCTGGACTTAAAGTGGAGCCTCTGGACTGTAACCGGCAGCCATATGGGATGCTGGTGCTGCAGACGGAGAATTAACCTGCTGTGCCACAGCGCCAGCCTGCATGACCACTTTTTGATCTGATCATTCAGGAAACATGAATTTATTTCATAGCCCAAAGAAAACATACCCAGGAAAGTCAGCCAGCTCCAGCAAGGCCTTGCGTCCAGCTCTAGAACTCTCTGGGCTTTCTCCTGGTCTTCTTGCCACTCTTAGAGATGACCAGAATCAGCCTCCTTTCTGATTAAACTGAAGTATTGAGGAATCCATTCTGAAATACCATAATTAAGAAAGAAAACCTCTTCTGATTCACAGCCCTGGACTCTGACTTGTCTCTCGATTCCAGCAGGACAAATGGCCTCCGCCTGTTGGGCACACCCGAGGTGTGGGGCCAGTACCGGCTGGCATTGATGACCCTCAGTAACTGAATGTCACTTGGATCTGTTTCAGAGCTCCCTGAAAAGAAGAGGCAGTCGGGAAATGTACAAGGAGAAGAAGGCCTTGAACCAGGTAAGAGGAGATTTTCATTCTAATGCTACGTCTCCTAAAGAGGAAGCCACCACACCCATCAAACATTCGAAGGAACATTAGCTGCCCGCATATTGGGACTTGGACTCATTCCAGATTTTCTTCTGGAACCCCAGCTCCCCCATTTTGTTTCTCTGATCAACTGGGGTACAGAGGAGGGCTGAGCTGCTCTGTGTGGGTAGTAACCAGGTGGGGTCCAGGCCCGGCAGTGCCCTTCCAAATCACTCCCACAGGAAAACTGCACAAGCCACTGCTTTCAGTATTGTTGTTGTTGTTAAACTGCGAGCGAACAGTATCTTCGATTGTCCGAGGTGGAATATTCCAGCCCAAGGTGGTAGAGGCTGAGCCCTTCCTGTGTACAAGATGCTCTTCAAGACTTTCCTGGCTTTTCTGAAAAGTTCTCCTGGATTCCTTTCTTTTTTCAATTGATGCTGGATCTAGATGTGGGAGAGAATACCGTGTTACAGGGGTGCCAGCTCCCTGGACCCTGAGAGTGGGTTATCCATCATCAGAGGGGCAGGGGTGCTGAGGCCCCGCCCCACTCTGCTAATCAACCATCCCGCCGGCATCTCTGTCCTCCGGGCTCGCTGGTCCTTACGGGGTCGTTCAAGGTGGGCCAGGTCCCCGAGTGTAGCATCCACCCGCTCCGAGCCCCCAACACTTCACTTTGGAGTCCCGCCGCGGGGTGCTGTTTCCAGCTCACTGGCTCCTGACCTGAAAGAGGCCCGACCGCCCCGGGATGGGACGCTCAGCCCACTGCCGCATCCGCCAGTGGGTGAAACAGGCCCGGGCGCGCGGCAGGGAGCCGGGTGCTGTCGGCCCCCTCAGGCTGTGGGATGATTGAGAAAGGAGTTTCTGTTCAGCAGAATGGTGGACTGGAGCGCCCTGGGAGCTGCAGGTCGGCCACCAAATCTCAAAGGAAGCTGGCGCCGCGGCGCAAGGTAGGCACGCGCGCATTGGGCTGCGCTGGTGCCGGCCGGCGGCCTTGCAAGCCAGAGAATATATTCCACGGGCGATATATTTCTGTTGCTTGGCAAGCTCTCTCCGGCTGGTGGTGACGGTGGTGGCCCCGTGTGTGTCTCCCTCCGTGCTGTGCTTGTCTTTCCTGCCCGCAGCAGGCGCGGTCTCTTGTGCAGAGTCCGACTGCGCCCTCTGCTTCCATGCTGCCTTCCCGGGCTGGCCGACAAGCTTCCGCGGTCCCTGAGTCCCCGGAGTCTCGGCAAAGCCTTAGAAAGCCTACACTTACAAGATGGGCACGCGGCCTCCCGCTGGCAAGGCTGAAACTGTGCTCCCCCATCGTCCCAAGAGGGGCGCCCCTACTCAGAGCGGACCCAGCTCGGCCTCCCCCTCCCACCTGTGTGGCCTGCTCCAGCTGTCCACCTCCACCGAGGGAAGTGGGACCCCTTTTCTTAGCACACACGCCCCTGCGGCGTCCAGGGTTCTCCTTTCAAAAGCTGCTTTAGTCTTGGTGGCAGGCCTGGTAGTGCATGCACGGGTGTTGAGTGGAAGCCACAGCATGCTTTGTCGTGCGTCAGATCTCCTGGTGTTTGAGTGGTTTCTTTCTTTAAGGGACAAGAAGACTTTTTGGACATTTTGTCAACCTTCAGGTAACCTGCAAAGTGGGCCTTCGTCAGGGTGCATCCCTGAGCCGGGTCTAGGACTGTTCTGGTGTGGCAGAGGGGACATGGTGGAAAGTTCAGGGTTTCAGAAATCAAGACGATTAGCAGGCTCCAGAGGGTCTCTGCCCGCACAAAGAGGTGCAGATGGGCACTTAGAGCCGCCTGTGTCCATCTTCCTCAGAGCTAATGAGTTCTCATTCCCCTTGGGAGGGAAGCCCCTCGGGAGAGACAGCCTGAGTCCCTGATGCACACCCTTGGTTCCTGCACTGTGCAGGCCACTCTGTCCCCATCTGTCCCTCCCTGGCCTTGCCTGGCCTCTGTCCCGTTGGTCCTGCCTGCCCCTCAGTCTGGCCCCAGCTTGTGGTGGGCAGAGGGTGGGGCCGTTGCCTGGTGCTGGGCCACATTCTCCTCCGGGATCTCTGAGCCAGGGGCTGCTATGCCTCAGAGGGGCTGGGACGGCTATGGGTGGTGCACAGACACCGACCGTCAGTGCATGTGTGGCCAGCGTATCCCCTGCCTCCCAAGTGAGTTCCTCTGCACAGAAGGTGAAGTCTGTCAGCATCGATAGGTTTCACAGATTCATCCAAACTCCACTCCTTCATGCAAGCAACCAATTCCTAGCTGTGGATTTGGGCTTACTGGGAATCTTTGTTAAACCAAAAATTGAAAAGGTGCTTTGGATTGTTCTACTTTTGCAAGTTCTAAGGAGCTGAGGTTCTTTAAAGGTAGCAAGCATGCGAGGGGTGGGCGTTCAGCCTAGCAGTTGAGATGCCTGCATCCCACATCACTGTGAGCTCTGGCTCCTGGTTCCAGCTTCCAGCCGATAGGCACCCTGGGAGGCAATGGTGATGGTTCAAGTGGTTAGGTCCTTGCACTCAGCTCCCAGCCCCAGCCCCAGCCTCTGGCCACTGCGGGCATTCAGGGAGTGCTCTCTTGTTCTCTCTCTCTCTACCTCTCAAATAAATATAAAAAAGTGAAAGCATAAAACAAAAATAGAAGAAGCATGGCACTTTCTAGTGGATAGATATTCAATAAGTGTTTACTGAAAGAATGAGTGAAAAAATAAGCATGCATTTCCTTTAGTATTAGGATTAAACACAACATCTGTCTTTTACAGCTCATACATAGTTCTTTTTTGTTGTTTAAAAAAAAAAAGTGTGATTACTCCAGTGGCATTGATGACCCATTCTTGTTGTGTGGTTGTGAGGGGGGGGAGAACCTTCCTCTGGCCACTCACAGAAATCCCGTAACTGTGTCTCCCTCACCAAAAAAGAAACCAAATCATTGATGTGATAAATCCTCAGAACTCGAAGACCGTGTGGCATTTACATGTTACTCCCCTAATAGGCAAAGGAAGGGAAAAGCAGAGTTGCTGGCTCATTTCTGCCAATATTCATTGTGTTCTGGACCAAGAAGGAATCCAGCTTCGGAGTACTGGGGTGTGGTGGTTTACTGTTTACACACCGCCTTGCAGTGCGTTATTGCATTTAACCTTCACAATGACCTCTTGCCTGAACAAGGGTCTTCAGACATAAGGAGACAGATTCTAGGGCTCTTGTGCCTTGCTGCAGGCAAAGCTAGGACGCCAGGCTGCCTGTTTGATACCACGCCCAGCAGGACCAGTTTAATCAGACTCCACCTGGAGGATGGTGGTGGGAGCTTCATGGTGCAGAGGGTGCACACAGAGTGCCAGGGCGTGCTTCCTGCATGGTACCTGGCACGCTTGGTTGTGGGTTTTCCCCGAGTCTTTCTGGTCTCATCATTCTTCCCCCTTCCCTGGCTTTGTGGAGAGGAAGGGGTCCAGGTGAGCGGGAAGGAGGGAATTGGGGAAGTAGCGAGGGAGGTTTTCGTCTAACCTCCAGGCAGAGGGTGAACCGTGCATGTTTGCCTGCTGTGGCAGCTTCATTGGCTCTACCAGACCATTGGAGCTTCACCTGTGTGAAGGAGGCCGTGCTCTCCAAGAGGGCTGGCCACCTGCAGGGCCCTTCCGTCCCTGGGGCTCCCACCGAGCTGTCGGGCCACAGCGCTTTTGCCATGGAGGAAGAAGCCTCGGCTGATGTCCTGGTCCCAGGCATCAGCCTTTCGAAACCTGATAGCCAGTCGAGGAGGAACCACTGGTGAAACCGGTCTTTTCCCTCTTGCTGAGTGTGGATGGTAGAGCATCATTGGAAGGACCAGCACAGAGAGTTTGTGCCTCGTAAAAGCATGGAGACCCACGCTGGCACAGCAGAGTGCCTTCCGGACCTCAGCCGAGCGGCGTGGGCCCTTGGCCGTGGCACCTGCTTCACAGGGTCTGAAACACCAGGTGCTCTCCGGCAGCTCGCCCTTGCCTTGGAGCTCTGAGTCTGCCTCCCGCTGCGTGACTGCAGCAACGGGGAAAGGAGAAAAGTGCGGGTTCTGCCTGGAGCCACCCTGCCTGAGAGAGGGTGGGAGCCCAGGGCGGCGGTGTCCCGTATGTCCGGAGCGTCGGCACTTGGTTCTGACTGCAGCTTCGCACCCGTCACTCATGTATTTGTCCTCATGTCAGTGCTTGATGCCGTGGGGAAGGGGAGAGGTGAACCTGGGCAAATCAGTCGAAAGCCAGGCTCTGGTTTGGGGTCACCTGACGTCTCCGGCGTGAGAGTGCCTGGTGGTTGGGTGAGGGCTCTGCCCTGGCAGGAAGTGAGTGGCCCCAGGCGGAGCCCTGCTTGCCACACCAGGCGTCGGGAAGCATTCTGGCATCGCTGTGACGGGTGCTAGCGATGAACCAGACACGATCCACAAAGTAACGTGGGCTCACCACGTCACCCATAGGTACCATTTTCACCCTCATTGTCCGTAACCTAGATGACAGCTTCAATGTGCATGTTTTGTTCCAAACTGATTTTTCGCTCTCCTTTGTTTCTGTGATACAACAACGCACTGTAGGCCATTGCCCGGTCCCTTCCGGGGAGCCCCTGGGCGCAGCCCTGCTTGGTTGAGGCCACCTTTTCCGCACAGCTCTCGGCACTGTTGGGAGGACCTGTGGGGGCAGTGAGGGAGTAGGGGGAGTTGTTGCAGGAGCACCTGGTACTTCCGGTAACCTCCTCCCGGGCTGTTCTCTCTCCTGGCAGGACGACAGCGCCGACCTGAAATGCCAGCTCCAGTTTGCCAAAGAGGAAGCCTCCCTGATGCGCAAAAAGATGGCCAAGCTGGGGCGGGAGAAGGACGAGGCGGAGCAGGAGCTGCAGAAGTACAAGGCCCTGTACGGCGACGTGGACAGCCCCCTCCCCACAGGGGAGGCCGGTGGGCCCCCCAGCACCAGGGAGGCCGAGCTGAAGCTGCGGCTGAAGCTGGTGGAGGAAGAAGCCAACATCTTGGGCCGGAAGATCGTGGAGCTGGAGGTGGAGAACCGAGGCCTCAAGGCGGAGATGGAGGACATGCGGGTGCAGCAGGAGCGGGAGGGAGCGGGCCGGGACCACGTGCCAGCCATTCCTACCTCACCCTTCGGCGACTCCCTGGAGTCGTCCACGGAACTTCGCCGGCACCTGCAGTTTGTAGAGGAGGAAGCGGAGCTGCTGCGCAGGTCCATCTCCGAGATTGAAGACCACAACCGGCAGTTGACCCACGAGCTGAGCAAGTTCAAGTTTGAGCCTCCCCAGGAGCCAGGGTGGCTAGGGGACAGCGCAGGCAAGGGTCCCGGAGGCGGGGCCCCTCTGCAGGAGGAGCTCAAGTCGGCCAGGCTGCAGATCAATGAGCTGAGCGGGAAGGTGCTGAAGCTGCAGTATGAGAACCGGGTGCTGCTGTCCAACGTCCAGCGCTGCGACCTCGCAGCCCACCTGGGGCTGCGCGCCCCGAGCCCTCGCGACAGCGATGCTGAGAGCGACCTGGGCAAGAAGGAGAGCGATGGGGAGGAAGCCCGCCTGTCCCAGCCCAAGCGGGAAGGGCCCGTGGGTGGGGAGAGCGACTCGGAGGAGACGTTCGAGAAGTCGTCGGGCTTCGGGAGCGGGAAGCCCTCGGAGGTGAGCGAGCCATGTCCGGCGGAGCTCCTGCGGGCCCGCGAGGACTCCGAGTGCCTGGTGATCATAAAGCAGGAGGCACAGCGGCTCGAGCGGACCGTGGAGCGCCTCATCACAGACACCGATGGCTTCCTGCACGACGCAGGGCTGCCGGGTGGCGGCGGCACAGCCTCCCCCTGGGGGCCTGGGGGTCAGGACGAGGGTGAGGGGGGCAAGAAGGAGTCCCACCTGCTGGGCGCCATCAATGCCAGGATGAAGGCTTTCAGGAAGGAGCTGCAAGCCTTCCTGGAGCAGGTGACTCGGATTGGGGATGGCCTGTCCCCCTCGTCCCACCTCACTGAGTCGTCCAGCTTCCTCTCGACCGTGACCTCCGTGTCCCGGGACTCCCCCATCGGGAACCTGGGCAAGGAGCTGGGCCCAGACTTGCAGGTAAGGGGGCTCCTGGCCTCGCCTCCCTGCCGTGCCTTGCCCTTCCTCCTTCTCGCTGGCATTGCTGCACTTCTTGGGCTTGCGGTGCTCACGGCTGCTTGGTTGTGATTTCAAAGCTGCATTGCACTAAAGCCTCCGGCGTCCGCCCCCAACCCAGTCTCTGGGTTAGGGTTCCTTTTTTGTTTTTTTTTTTTTTTTAAGTTCCCTTTCTCGTTTCCTCGTTTTCTTTTTCCTTTTTCTCCTCTTATTTTTAACTGCACCCCTGCTTGGGGTCTAGAGGCCCCGGCCCCCGGGAACCAAGGCCGAGCCGAGTCAGGGGCTCGGCGCAGTCCGTCCTCGCTTCTTGCTTGGTGTCTCACACAACCAGCCGTCCCGGTGAAGAAGCCACGAGGAGTCTCAGCCGAGGTGCCAGCTCCTGTCACAGTCAGGATAAATGGCAGACTCACTCATGAGCGCGCCAATCCCTCCTTGGGTCGTTACCAAAGGGACACAGTGCAGCTCGGACAGCCCCTAGGCAGCCAGGCCCACCCGCTCCCTCACTGGAAGATAAGCCGGGCTGGGGAGAGGCGCACGGTCCCCCGAGAAGGCTGTTTTTGATGGAAAGTCGCCGAGGTGGGGGCTGAGCGGAGTGGCCTCCGAGGACTGCTCTCCTGTGCCTCACCCTGGGGTGCATGACCCGGCTGCCGGCCCTGGATTGTGGCCTTTGCTGCTCGACCCACAAGTAAGGAAGGAAGAGCCTTGTGTCGTGTATCCTTCACGGGTGGTGTGCTCGCGGTGGACTTGGGACTCACGCATCGCCATTGCATGCGCCCCCTGCCCCTTCTCTGGCTCTGCAGATGCCGCGGCCTCTCCTCTCGCTCATCCTCATTCTGCGCCTGTGCGCTCTGCGCAAGCGTCCGCCGCTCTCTGAAGTTGGTTTCTCTTGTCCCGTGCTTCCCTCGGCCTGGCAGTCCTGCCCCTCGTCTGCCTTGACTCCTCTCGGTGTCTTTATCCTCCCTCCCCGCCCGACTCTCTCATCCTTTGTATTTCGTTTAAAAACAAACAAACGAATCCCTCCCGTGCACCTAACAGTCCAAGCTGAGGGACCAGCTGGAGTGGCCGTTCAGCCAGGACCGAGGGGACGAGCGCGAGAGTCCGCGCCCGCGAGCCACCCGGGAGCTGCACCGGCACGCCGACGGCGACGCTGGGAGCCACAGGCCGGGAGGCCAGAGCTGCTTCAATCTCGAGGTCAGCGCCCAGACCCAGCCGTGGCCCTCATGCCCCTCCTTTTGCATGTGGCTGCCTGTGTGACTCGTCCTGCCTGGGCCAGGGCTCTCAGCGAGCGTGGCAGGAGGATGTGCCCTCAGCGGCCTCTTGTCCCTAAGCAGAGAGAAGGGCTGAGCCCAAGCAGGAGCTCCCCTAGTCCAGGGGAGACGCTCCTGTTGGGTCTTCGTTGCCTCTGTCCTGTGTGCCTGTCCCATGGGCTCGGAGCCCCTGTTGCAGCAGGCTGGCAGAATCAGAGAGGTCCTCTCGCTCCTGCCTTGGGAACCCTGGGAGCCTGCACAGGCTCGGTTGCCATGGTAACCCATGGACACCCAGTGACAGGTGCCTCTCAGTGGTCCTGTAAGACGGCAGCTCAGGGATACAGGTCACCCCATGCAGGAAGGAAAGACAGGTGCTCCCCAAGGACTGAACCGCCGGAGCAGGTCCCCTCCTGGCTGTTAGGCTGCTGGCTGGGCTGGAGTCACGTGAACTGGGTCGGGGAAGAGCTGTACCCCTCAATCCCCCGGGGGATGTTTCCACTGAACTCTGAGGCATGGGAACAGCAGGGGCCAGGAGACAAGACTTCCGGGCTTGTAACCCGGAAGTGAGCGACAGCTTTGTTCAGCCGAACATCGGGTGGGGTGATGAGGAAGTGAAGCTGACAAAGGCATGCAGGTAGGCAGTGCCCGAGCCTTTGGCTCCACACAGCGAGGCTGAAGGTCCCCTCACTGGAAAGGGGTGTGGCAGGGCTGTTGCCTCACCCAGCCAAGTCCCAGGTTGCGCTAATTTGCAGCTGTGTCCCTTAGCCCTGGAGGAGGGAGCGTGTCATGTACAAATGTAGAAACCGCCTCCAGCCAGCTGCACTAAAAACAGAAAAGGTTTCCAGAACCCCCTGCACAGTCCTGCTGTCCTCACGTTACCTAGGGAGGCCAGGCCCACCTGCGCAAGCGGCAGCCCAGCACACGCTCCGAGGGAAGGCAATGTGGGCCGTGCGGAGGGGTGACAGGGAGGTGATCCACATGCCACAGGGCGACACCCATGCTGGTGCCAGGCCCCCAGAAACCAGCAGAACCCGGTGTGCTGGGTGGGCGGGGCAGGGAGCGGCAGGGGGACCCCGGCCCTCCCAGTGAGAGTGCCCACAGCAAGCTTTTGTCATTTTTCTGAACGCTGGCTTTGGACGTGGAGCCAGACAACTATCACAGTGTCATGTCAGCTTCTGTGTGCTCTCGTTCCTTCACTGTGACAAAGCTGTTCCCTGGGTTTGTACCAAAAGTGAAACTGGGCAGCTCCCATTCTCCCCGGGGACGCTTACCTAATGGCTTCATGGGGCTCTTACCACATGTGCTTGGTCAGCCTGTGCCGCACACACGCAGGGTCTTCCTCTGAGAACGCTGGCTGCTTGGGCTGCTGCAAACCTGTAGCCATGTGCACTCACAGCTCGAGTGAGCATTTCCTGGGGTTTCCCAGCCTTGGGTCACACTGCAGCACTCAGCTGTTCCTAGCAGGGACGCGCTGCAGCACTGGAACCCGTCCTGGCATGGACTTTGGTCCAGGGCTATCGCCCAGCTGTGTCCACTACCAGCTCAATATCTCAAGCAGGTTTCTGGGCCTCTGTTTTCTCATCTGTCAAATGGGAATAAGAAACACTGCCAGCTGCTTCGTGTGGTTGTATCTGGACCATTCTGAAAGTCAGTGAGCTGCTGAATGAGGGAGGTGAGACCAGTCTGTCTCGTACGCAGCTCCCTCGCTAGGGCACAGCTGTCCCCTGCCCACCTTGGCCCTTTTGCTTCCCATGGGACATCCCAAACCCGGGCCAGGACCGCAGCTCCCTTCCATGTGCTGCTTTGCGAGAAGTGCATCCCCCGGGACAGGAGCTCATGATTCGGGGCAGGTCCCACGCAGCCTGGCCTTGCTGAGTGACGCCCTCCTCCTGCTGGGCCTTCTCTATGTCCTCACTGAACCCTGGCGCCATGATCAGGCGCCTGTTCACAAACACGGTGCACAGCTTCCGAAACCCGCAGTGACTTGGAGGGAGAGAAACAGAACTTGGCTGGACCAAACTGGATATCGAGGACCACTAAGCCTCTGTAAGAGGTGGGTCAGCAATGAGTTAATGCCACGTGGCAACATAGGGTCACCCAACAGTGCAGCTCAGCTGGGAGGAGCAGAGCTTCAGACAGATTCTCATCTTTCTGCAAAGGATGCAGCCTGGTAGGTGTGGCTGCCAGGACTCCTGGTGGGTGGGTGCAGGAGGCAGCAGACAGCAGCGTCCTAGACTGCCGACGCCTCTCCGCAGCAGCAGGGCCGGCCGGCCTGATCCCGGCGGCGCCCTCCTGCCTCCTGCCGGGTTTTCTGAGCACAGCCCTGCAGGTGACTGCACCCTGGGCGTGACTCAGATTCTCAAACATCTGTCCACTTCCCTTTAATGTTGTGCATTTTAATGATAAAGTGGAGAAAAATACTCAGTAGTGAAAGACAAAGTTTAGGGAGCATCTTTTCTCATCAGGGGACAGCATGCCAAGCTCCCGAGAGTCAGCGGGACAGCCCCACCAGAGAGAGCCCTCTGTGTGGAGGTCATTGTTAAGAAGACAGACACGACACGCCCATTCAAAGGAGGCCAATCACAAGGCTGGAGGAGGTGCTGGCAGCTTTCTCTGTCCCCCTTACAATATCCTTTTTATTTTATTAGTTTTTATTTTTTAAAAGATTTTTATTTATTTGAGAGGTGCAAAGTTACAGAGAGAGAGAGGGAGAGGCAAAGAGATCTTCCATCTGCCGGTTTACTCCCCAAATGGCCACAATGGCCAGAGCTGGGCAGATCTAAAGCCAGGAGCCAGGATTTTCTTCTGGGTCTCTCATGCGGATACAGGGGCCCAAGCACTTGGGGCATCCTCCACTATTTTCCAGGCCACAGCAGAGAGCTGAGTGGGAAAAGGAGCAGCTGGGACGTAAACTGGCGCCCATATGGGATGCTGGCTCTGCAGGTGGAGGCTTAGCTCACTGCGCCACAGTGTCGGCCCTTTGCGTTGCCCTATAAGTAGCCACTAATTTTGTCTTCACACCTGTGGGTGCCTCTGCTGATAGGACACCGGCTCGCAGCGGCATAGAGAAGAAATAACTTTCTGAGGCAGACATTTTTACAAATGTCTCCAGTTCCATTTGTGAAACGCCTTGTGTGCTTTTATTTAGCTTTGTAGATCTTTCATATCTGGGGAAAGGGAAAGGAAAATGAGTTGTTACTTTGGTAGATTAGGGTATTTTATTTTAAAATATGACTGTTACTGTTAGCACCAGTGCCAGCAGTGGCAACAGCAAGGAGAAGGGGAAAAGGAAAGCCCACTCCACACATCACACATTTCTCTAGCAGATAACAAACCCACGTCGTGTAGGAGGCCTACTGCCCCAGGGTCACAATCCACTAAACCTAGGAGAAGAATGGTATATCCAATCCCAGACTTCCTAAAAACAGCCACGGCTAGAGAATACAGAAGTCAGAACCCACAGACATCCACTAGCCCATGAATGCAGCCACAGAAAAACCGGCCACGCAGCACCGAAACAGACTTCAGCAGGACGAGTGTCCCCGCTGCCTGTTCGTCCCAATGGGTATTAGCAAGATGTTACACTGTGCCCTGAGGCTCCCCTGACGTTGCTCCCCACAGTTGCCACCCAATCTGCAGAGAGATTGGCATTTGCTGGTGAGAGGACGGTGTATGGAATATTCGGTTTGGAATGTGCAGGGCACCTTAAAAATAGTTCTGAATGAGCAGTAGGGGGGCATGGGCACCGGTCAGATTTCACATCTGAGCGAAACCAGGCCTGTGCCCAGAGGATTGGGTTTCTCGGTCAGAAATCTCAAAGTGCTCCTTTCCCCAGCCCCTCCTTTCATCCTTCAATCAACCAAGCACGCAACGCACTTGTGGTCCCTTATGCCTCAGCTGTGAAGCACCGGTCCCAGCAGAACAGCGTGGGGTTGCACGCCAAGTATTTGTACACATGTGCTGAGCTCATATGCTGCTTTTGAAAGAAGTGGTAGCAAACGTGGCCAGGACAGAATGGAAGTCACCACCAGAATTGAAGTGGTGATGGAGGTGCCATTGCCAGGCATTACAGTGATGCTAACTGAAAGCATTCTCCTTTGTTCATGGAAACCCTGGAGTCATGGTCTTAAGTGTGCAAAGCAGTGTATAGGCCACCGTCTCTGGAGATGTTCAGGGAATCAGCGTGACTCACGGGAGGACACAGCCTCTGGGAGGGAACTTGGGGGCTCTGGGTGTTCAGTGCTAATACAGGGGTAAGTGTGCTTGTGATGCCAAGTTCAGTGTCTGGACAGCTTTGGGAACATGGTATTGGTTAAGCAACCTGCCCTAATAGAGAGCTCAAGATGAATTTGACGTGTATGTAATCAGTGCATGAGCTAGGGATGGATTCTGGAACCCAGTTTCTGGGGACTTGGTGTTGGAGGGAGGTACTTCTTTTTCTACAGGGCGTGTGTGTGTCCTATGAAAATGTCCCCCAGTGTACGTGATTGCATGCAGTTGTGTGTCGGAAGACTCCTAGACGGAAACCTTTGCCATCGCATGCTTGTATTTCGTTCTTTGTAACACTGGAGTGACACTGGCGTCCCGGCTGGCAGCACTCGTCCACGGGAGTTGTTAATAGTCCATTAGCAAAACTGGGCAGTAAAGGGTTGAACACAGCTTTTGCTGCTGCCCAGATGACAGCCTGCAGAGAGAGCACTGGGCCACCGGGGATCAGCCCTGTGCTCCAGTTGCCCCACGTGGGACCCCCCAGGGTCCTCCCTTCTCCCTTCAGAAGTGTGGCACAAGCAGAGGAGATGACGTCAAAGTGTGAAGCTCGTGGATTTGCTTAAAAGGAAAACGACATGATTTCTTAAGATGAAAATCACATAAAATGGTTCTGTTTAATACAAGTTGAGTATCCCTAATCCAACCGCCCCAAACGCTCCAAGACTCAAAACTTTGTAATGACTGAAGTGGTCACCATGAGTGGAAAATTTCACACCATGACACTTGTTTCATGCACAAAATTATTTACAGTGTTGTACAAAATATGCCTTCAGGCTATGCGTATAAGGTATACATGAAACACAAATGCATTTTGTTTAGTCTTGGGTCCCATCTCTAAGATATTTCATTATGTGTATGCAAATATTCCAGAAAAAGTTTTTAAGGCTCCAAAATCTGAAACCCTTCTGTTCTAAAGCATTTCAGATAAGGAATACTCAAACTGTAAATAGGAACTAAATAGATTTTTTTTAAAAAATTTATTCATTTGAAAAGCAGAGTTAGAGAAAGGCGGAGAAAGTGAGGCCTTCTGTCTGCTGATTCACTCCCCATATGGCTGCAACTGCCATCTAGACAGGTCCATCTAGCTGAAGTCAGGAGACAGGAGTCGTATCTGAGTCTCCCACGAGGGTGGCAGGGGCCCAAGGACCTGGGCCATCCTCCACTGCTTTCCCAGGCCCATCAGTAGGGAGCTGCATCGGAAGTGGAGCAGCCAGGACTCGAACTGGCACTCATATGGGATGGGTGGTGCAGGTGGTTTCCTAACCTACTGCACCACAACATCAGCCCCAGTGATTAGATCTTGGATCTTCTTAAATGATCAGCTTGATTAGGAAGTACACTCCAACATCGAATACCGTAAAGCTTTTGGGTAGTTTATAATGTGTTAGCATATGGAGGGTTTTTACATTTTTACGGAGTGATGTCTACCTGAGTGGGGGTGGGGAGGGACCTGCAAACCTCCCTTAGGGAACACCTGAGCTGCAGGAAGCCCGGAGGTGGGGGTTGGGTTCCTTTATCCCCTGCTGGATAACCCAGTACTTGGATAGTGCTGTAGGCGCTCTAGCTGTATTTGTTGAATGAAATAGGAAATGTCCTTTTAAATAGGTAGCTGAATTCCCAAAAAAATTAGAGGAATCTTCAAGGGTTGGGGCTGTTTTAAGAACTGACAACCAGAGCAGGTGGATGAGTGAGGGAGATGCTTGCCAGGGTTGGTAACCAGAAGGGTCAGAGTTCAGCAGTTCCAAGGAAGTAGGAGGCAGGGCCTTGGGCACAACACTGGCTGGGAAAGAAATTAGCCTGCGAGAAATCAGTGAACAGAAAACACAACTCCCTGCTGGTTCCCAGGAAAGGGAGGCGCTTGGCCACCCACCCAGCATGGGCTGTGGGTCAGGAGGAGGAGGAGGAGCTACAGTGACCCTTACACGGGATCAGATGCCACCTGTGTGGTCCAGGAACCCCCAAGGAGAGGAATTTGGGTCATTTTGCTGCCTTTTGAAAACTCAAAATGGATCTGGAGGCGTGCTCACATGCCGGCGACATTCAGGACCCATAGATAATGGCCTCTCAAAGATGCACACAGCATGCAGATGCAAACATGCAAGTGAAAAACGCCATTAGAAGCGAGAGTCGGCAGGTATTCAACCCAGAGACCAACAGATTATAGGATTAACAGACAGACACGACACGGTGCTCGTGTTCAAAGCAACGACAGGCAGACAGACACGAGAGGAGTGAGGCACCGTCACAGAAGACCACAGAGAGCTAAAACATAAAGTAGAACTTTTGAAAATGAAAAACTGGTCATTGCCTCTTAACTATAGCAAGGCAGGGAAGCAGTTGATGTTCTCAGAAGCCGGGTTTCTTTCACATTTATATCCCAGAGTAGGCAAATACCCCAGTGGCTCTGACTTTCCCTGTGAACCCCGCCCTGGGAAGCACTCTGCTCTCCCAGCTCGGGCTGTGTCACGCAGGACAGCCCATGAAACCTCAGAGGAGGAGCAGCGTGACAGAGGAGTTCCAAGATGGTCAGAAGGAAGCCGCGAAGTAACATGTGTTTTCACAGCTGCAGTCCACTGTGATTCCCAGTGTCTCGCATCCTCGTCTACAGGTGTTGTAACTCGTGGGTGGAACATCTTGCTTGAAAGTGAATGAGCCCTGAGGTCTTTGGTGGGACAGTGTTTGCATCTCTGAACAAGCACTGTGTTTCCCAGTAGTGGCTCCAGCTCTCTGTCATCTGCACGAACAGGGGTCTTCAAAAGGTTCATGGCAGATGTGTGTTACCAGAAAACTAGACGTGGATTTCAGGGCTTTGTTGCACCAAAACAAAGGTTAATTCCATTTTATGTGAACTTCTTGAAGGCCCCCCCACCCGGGGAAAGACATAAGTGCAGGCTTTACCAACAAGTAAAAATACAGCTTCCTGCACCCATTGTGAACCTGAAGTGCAGTAAGTGAGTCTATGTGTGATTTGGGGGGTGGGTTCTGGCAGTATGCTCCTGCAGGAGCCCCACCCCATCACCCTGCCTGCTGGGGTCGGACAGAAGCATCCTTGCTGGGGCAGGAAAAACTCTTAATAGAAGAGTGCATGAACATGGACATTCAGCAACTCAGAGAAAGACTCCCTGTAACTCAGAGAGAATCCAACAGGCTGACTGTTCTGTGGTCATCACCAAGCTCTGAGCACCCCCAGCTTGTGTGAAAACTGTCGAGAAGCCACTGTGGTTGCTAGGACAGCCCCCAGGGTGCCCGGGCTCCCTTCTCTTGGCCTGGCTCACAACTATTGTGATGGCTCAAGTTCAGTGCCAGGGAGGAAGGCAGGTGGGATTGTCCGTCGGCAGGCACCTGTGAACCCAGAAGCCCAGGGAAGTTGCCACAGAGTCACTCCACTGCTGCAACCAGCGTGCGCCATCTCTCTGTGTGTCCCTGGCTTGTGCAGATGTCTGTCCCTCGTCGTCCCCTCAGGCAGTGTTCTCGTCCCCACTAAACCCCTTCCTTTATCCCACCGATCAGCTCAGGGGCCCCCCCGTTTTACCCGAGCAGAGTGTATCGATAGAGGAGCTACAGGGTCAGCTCGCGCAGGCGGCCAGACTGCATCAAGAGGAGACAGAGACATTTGCAAACAGGATCCGCAAGGTAAATATGGACCGGGAATACCAGCACGGCCCCTTCCGGGACCACAGAGCCCCATGGGAAATAGTTTAATTTATACATCAGGCACAGTAAGGGGTCAGTAATAATAACTGATGATAATCTAGAACAGTTGTACCAGTGTACTATAATAAAAGTCAAAAGCTTGAATCCGTTGCTTCCGGAATTTTCCATGTGATATTTTGGGACTGTGATGGAGCACAGGATACTGACACTGTGGATAAGGGAGGACAAGTGTACTTAACATCGTGATCTCAGGAAGGTCTCTTCAAGCCAGCCTGCACCTTCGGCAGCATGGGCCAACAGACCCGTAAAATAAGGGCCTGCCGTGTGGCCACATAGGAAGGCGTATCTGCCCCTTGGGTGATGGTTGGCTTTTCTGATAGGAATGTCAACTCATCTAAACGACTGCCTCTCACTGAGCTGCGGTCTGGTCAGCATCCAGTTATTTTAGAATAACCCGTGACTGGCCAATTTATCCTATTTCTGCTGTACTTTCCCAGAGTTCCTCTGAAGGGGATATGCAGATGCAGGCACTCCAGGCTCCAGGCCTCCCCGGCTTGCCACACCACACCTAATTAGGCTGTAATGAAATATCTAGGTTCAGAACTTGCTGTAGCTGATCTAACCTCCTCGTATTTGTTCTTGAAAGAAGCTGTAGCTTTAAAACGAAACAAATTATCTTGATCAGAGCACTATGGTATTTAAAATGCATATTCTGTGCAAAATTACGTCCTGGGTGCATTCAAGAACTTACTGTGGCAAGGGATGGGTACTACACATAAGCCCCACAGTACCCATAGCCAAGGTCATCTAAACAGGCTGCAAACTGATTAAGGGAGTACCTTCCGCACCTTTCAGCTTAGGAGGGCAGAGCTGAGTGCCAGGATCTTACTTTTCCCTGTCCACCCCTCCCAGGAGATGCACACCCCTCTTTAAATGTGTCATTTATAAGTCAAGTTTCATGTATCATTACCAAAGGAAAGTAGTATCGTTACTTGAAAGATAAGTTCCTAAGCCATTTTTAAAAGGAATATTTGGTGTTGCACCCAAAGAGAGTTTGCAAAGTGAATTTGCCACCGGAGATTTCAATAGCAGAATAGTGGGGGTCCCAGGTGCACGTGGCACTTGGCTTTGCCATACAGCAGTGTGTAGAGGAAGGTGGGGGGATGTCTTCCAGGCCTGTTCAGAAGGGAAGAGAAGGTGTCCCCACGTCCCCAGGGAACTGAGAACCAGCCTCTGAGATGCTGGGAGCACTTCGTGTCATAGAACTTCAGACAGAATCAGCAAAGGCAGTGGAGGAGAAGCAGAGAGAGAGTCTGGAGGGTGTAGGGGTGCTGCAGGTGAAGGGGTAGGAGACACCCCGGCCTGTGTGGGGGCATTGTCTCCATTCCTCCCACCCCAGCAGCAAGAGGAGGCAGCTCACGTCATCCTCGTGTTGCCCCTGGGGAGGCTAAGAGCACTGCAGGGAAGTGGAACGCTCAGCTCCCCTCAGCTCCCCACCTCTGTCCACTGTTTCCTGTTTTGTTTTGAAAAAAAAAATTTTTTATAAGACTTACTTTAATTTGAAAGGCAGAGAGAGCGAGAGTGAGATCTCCCATCCACTGGTTCATTCCCCCAAATGACCTCAGTAGCCAGGGCTGGGCCAGGCCAAAGACAGGAGCCCAGAACTCCATCTGGGTCTCCCACGTGGGTGGCAAGGGTGTGAGTACTTGGGCCATCTTCTGCTGCTCTCCAGGCACATGAGCAGGGAGCTGGATGAGAAGTGGAGCAGCCGAGGCTCAGACCAGCATGCAGGTACGGGATGATAGCGTCTGGCGTCGGGGGTGGGTGCGTTAACTCTGCACCACAATGCCGACCCGTGCTCTGTAGTCAGAAGGACGTGAAAGATGAGGTGCATAACCGTGGCCGTGTGAGCCGGGGTGCACACCCGTAGACCCTTCCAGAGCTACCTCTTGCTCCTCTCTGGCCTTTAGCATGTCCACTGTAGTGGGGTCTGCAGACATAGCCCTGACCCAGGGCTCCTGAGAATTAATCTGGTCCTTGAGGAAAAAAAAAAATAAGTGCCTTGGCTGTTGGCATCAGAGGGAGGGTTAAATTAGGAGAGGACAGCTGGTCACCACGGGGCCGGCATTCTAAACCTTCTGGCCTTGGGACGCACAGCTTTGATCCCGCAGATCTTGTTAGCTGCTCTATAGCTGCTATATATAGCTCTTATCTGCAAAATAAGGTTTCATTCCCATCCTTTTGCTTAGTCAGTATTGATACACAGTAATTGTTTATTTCTTGGAAGAATGCCAATGCCAGTGTTTGAACAAGAAAAACGAAGCAAGAACACGGGGTGGCGTTGGGCCTAGCAGTTAGGACAAGCACAGCCCATGTCAGAGCGCCTGGGTGTCTGCTCCTGGCTCCAGCTTCTTGTTCGTGCAGACCCTGGGAGGCAGCACTGAGGGCTCTCAAGATTGGGTTCCAGCCTCCCAGGTGGGAGACCCAGACTGAGTGCTCCAGGCAGGATCATTGTAGGCATTTGGGGAGTGAATCAGTGGATGATGGCTCGCTTGCTCTCTGTGTGTCTCCCTGCCTCTCAAACAAAAATGTTCAAAAACCGAAAATACCAAACAGGAACTCAGTGTTGAGATGGAAGACATTTCTTTTGCAGGAGACTTATTTTCCCAAGGGACGTGCCTAGTAACAGGAGTGTGAAGCCTTGAGTGTGGAAGTTGGTTAGCACCTTCCTGTTTGCTCGCTAGTGTGCAGCTAAGCATGCTGGGAAGAGCTCCTCCTAGCCCAGACCCTTCTCCTACGCTCCCTTTCTCTGTTAGGGGCGAGGGGGGCCAAGGAGGTCACGGGGAAGGACTTCCCCTTCTTTTCCTATGGGCTTTTGAATGTTGAGTCCAGGTACTGGGGGAATGGAGTCTACTTAAGAGTGCAGTCCCTTCCTTTGATTCAGTAGACGAAGGAACCTCTGAGCTAAAGCCAGCCCAGTCCCTTCCTTTGAAATAGCACCTGGCTCTGAGTCCAGCGCTCCTGAGGTTTGATGAGTAGTCGGCATCTCCGACCACGAGTGCCCTGAGCGTCTGAGGGTTTCCCAGTGTCACATCCCACCTGCAACACAGCGGAGACCCCCTGGGTTGTCAGGGTGGCAGGTCGGAGTAGCTGCTCGTCACACTCTTCTCTGATTCCATTCAAGATGGAGGAGGAGCACCTGTACGCCCTACGGTGGAAAGAACTGGAGATGCATAGCCTGGCTCTGCAGAACACCCTGCACGAGCGCTCCTGGAGTGATGAGAAGAACCTGCTGCAGCAGGAGCTGCGGGCCCTGAAGCAGAACATTTTCCTCTTCTACGTCAAACTCCGGTGGCTGCTGAAACACTGGCGGCAAAGGAAGCAGATGGAGGAGGAGGGAGAGGACTTTTCGGAGGTAACGCCCGCCCCAGCGCTGCTTCTATTTGCGGGGTTTGTCCTTGACCCCCAGGCGCCACTGCCCTTCACTCTCCACTCCGCCCGTTATGTTAAGTCATTGGGTCGATTTGAATCCATGCAACAGGACTGCCGTGGCCCGTCCACCGTGTGTGAAGCCAGGAGGTCCAGCGGGACACCTGGTCTGTGGCCGTGTTCTGCACAACCTTGGTTGCCACCTGCTTGCCGCTGAGTGATCCACTCACTCAACTTCTCGCCCTGGGAGCCTTTGCTCTCTCACTCAGTCTGGCTGGTTTCTAAAAGCTGCTCCTAAAATGTTTGTTCTTCCCCCCATTCCCACTGCTGCCCCCAGATGCCAGCGCACGCTGTGCCCCTGTGGTTTTCTAAGGGTCGGTTCCAAGTTTCAGATGGGTCGCAAAGCCAGCCCTGTGTTCTCCCTCTTCGGTCTGAATTCCCAGATATGTAGCAGACACTGAGCAGAGCTGTTTGCTTTCTGATTGAGTTCCTCCTGGTGAAGTCGGGGTGACCTCCAGCCGCACAGGCTGTGCCCGGCCTTGCTTTCCAGTGAGCACAGGGCTGCAGGCACAGGTGTTCTGCTCTGTCTGTTCATCCACAGCCGGGCTACTTGGTCGGCTGCTTCAGGGCATCCTGAATCTTTTGTTGTTGTTGTTGTCTGCTCTTTACTCTAGTGGACAGTGCTTGCAGTTTTAAGTCATCCAAGCAGAGATTCTCTTTCCTCAGAATGATGAAAGTTCAAAAGTTAACTCAGCTTCCAAGTGCCTACAACTTGGAAGACCCTCCTTCAGCAGACCCTTGACGTAGTGGTCAGGTGTCCTGTTGGTCAGCATTCTGGGGTCCTGCTTTTCTGATTTATGGAACCATGGCTGTAGGCAATGCTAACTTAGAGCATTTCTCATTCATCTTTTTTTTTTTTTTTTTTTGGACAGGCAGAGTGGACAGTGAGAGAGAGACAGAGAGAAAGGTCTTCCTTTGCCATTGGTTCACCCTCCAATGGCCGCCATGGCCGGCGCGCTGTGGCCAGCGCACCGCGCTGATCCGATGGCAGGAGCCAGGTATTTCTCCTGGTCTCCCATGGGGTGCAGGGCCCAAGGACTTGGGCCATCCTCCATTGCACTCCCTGGCCACAGCAGAGAGCTGGCCTGGAAGAGGGGCAACTGGGACAGAATCCGGCGCCCCGACCAGGACTAGAACCCGGTGTGCCGGCGCCGCAAGGCGGAGGATTAGCCTAGTGAGCTGCGGCGCCGGCCTTCATTCATCTTCTAATACACTGAGCAGCCACCCTGTGCCATTTAAATGGAGGAAGTGCCATGAGTGGAAGAGCAAAACGAGCATATCTGGGGCCAGGACTAAGAGAGAGAGCACTTGATAAGCCACAGAGAGGATCATTATTCTCAAACGGTAGAAACCAGGCTGTACCACAAAGGGGTGCAGGCAAAGCTGTGATCACCTTCTCTTGCTGGTTTCAGGGCGACCATCCAGAGACCTTCCCTGGGCTCAATGACCTTGGACTTCAGGGGGGTCACCAGGTGGATGGACCAGACCTAGATGACACAGACCGAGGCTGTGGCTTTCCCATGGGGGAGCTCCCCCAACACGTTCCAGGGCAGAATGGTCAGCATGGATTGAGGCTGCAGACGGCAGATGGGGTGCAGGTGCACAAGCAGGTGGGTGCTCAGATCCATGCCTGTTGTCCCACCTGAACCGCTTGGCCATCCTCGAGTTCCAGGTAGCAGAACCCCCGCCCCTCCCACCACCCACCACCTGGCTAGCTACCTGTTGCTGTGCATGATGTCGGAGTTTTGCTGGAAATTGTATCGTTTTGCTTTAACGTCAACCCCTTCATGTCATTCATTTGCCTTGCCTCTATAAATAAGAATCATAGTATGAGCAGACTGAGTGTGTCCTCTTTGGAGCCAGCAGATTTACCCCGGAAAGAAAATTCCATGTATGTGTTCTGCAGAGTCACCCTTGGCCTTTTAAAGGTTGACCATTCTTCCAAGGAAGAGGGAAATGCTCAGTCTGATGATGTCATCATGACCAGATGCAGAACTTAGGGGGCTTTTTGGTTGATGTTTAGCTGAACGGCCATTGGCAACATCACTAATTTGGCAAACATAAGTGAGGCTATGGAAAAATCAAATTAAAAGGTGTTTATGTTGGTACAAATAATTTTGAAATCCATGTGTAGTTTTTTTTTTTCACAATATGCATTTTCTGTGAACTTTCTGAAGACCTCTCATATGCCCAAATTTCACAGATTTTTGCACCAAAATAAAGTTCCCTTTTAATCTCATTTTCCATAAACTTTTTGAAATGTCCTCACGTCCTGTTATCTATTATAAGGAGAGAAAAACACCCATGTTTTTGCTGAAGATTCCCAAACACATATGTAGAAAGCATTTTGTGTTCTCTTTGGCTCCAAATAAAAATATTTGCTGATGCCTTGAAAACGGTAAAGGTATGTGTAGAGAAAGGTGGGATTCCAGTGTTAGGAAGTAATTTTATTGTGTTGACAAGCACTGCGGAAATAGACCCTGCTTATTAAACCAAAAGATACTACTGGTAACATCCAAACCCTTTGCCTTGTTGTACAAGGTGGTAACTGTGGTGGACACGGAGACTTGAGATCCTGAGCGGGACCCTGTATTAAGCTTTCTTGCTCTCAGGCTTCTGAGCCCCCTCTGACCCCACTTGGCTCCCTGGAGGCTCCTGCAGCAAAGCCTGGGATGCCTGCGTTCTCGGAGGGCGGGGGAGTGGCCCTGGGCCAGCAGACCCTGGGCGCGGCCGCAGCCTCTCGGCCACAGGCATTCTGGGCACTCCCTGCGGGCCGGGCTCTACAGCTGTCGCTCTCCCCTGTCCCAGGCGCCTTCAGCTCAGAGCCCAGGTCCGGTGGGAGAGGTTGTCCTCGGAGCTTGGGCTCAGATCCAAATGAAGGAAAGCAGCGATGTTCTGAATGCAGGCTAGGAAGACATTTGAGGTTTGCCCTATGCTTTCTGTCTGCTGCCTTCTGTGGACACCCATCCACCCTTCAGCTTCCTTGAATAATGGGGACTCACAAAGGAGCTCCCACCCTCAAAAAGCCTGTTCCCCACCATCGTTAGGAAGTGCGTCAGGGCAGAGCCCGTGGGGGCGATTTTAGGTCATGGAATGAATCTTCCAGCAGTGGGCTAGCTAGAAACTATAAGGTGACTTTGCAATTTAATGCTTTCAAATGTACGGATTGTAGAAGAGGTGTTGTCAGTGAATCCTCTCAAGTGTTTGTGATCCACTCAAATAGTGTCCTTGGTTGCGACGTCACAACCTGCTAGGTCTCCCACGCCTGCATCCAGATGCGTTGGAGAAGGAAAAAAAGATGTCCTGTGTCTGGTTCTCTAAGCAACATTCATGAAGAACATTGCCTGCTGGGTGGGAAGGAAGGTAGCCACTCAGCCGGCTCCTCTTATTCCACCTATCTTAATGCCGTCTGCTTTTGCCTCCTCCTAACACTGATTGTTAGCGATGACCATTCGAAGTGGAGATGGACACGGGAGTTAGCAGCCCGTGGATGGGCTGACAGGGTCTGCTGCAGACATTCGTCATCAGGTCTGGCTTTTAAGGGCCCGTCTGTCTGCAGCAGTTAAAGCAAAACTCTGTGCCCGTGCCAGGCCTCCGAGGCCAGAAGATTAATGGGCTCTACTGTAAGCGACAGCTGGTGCGTCCTCTGTTAGAAGATTTGTCTGTCTGTGAGTGGCATGGGTATTAGTGGGGCAGCCCGGATACCAGATCCAGCACACGTGTCTTCAAGAGCTGCCGTGCAGAGCCAGGGCCTTTTTCAGCCACTCTGCAAGCCGCACAGGTGACAACAGCATGGGAAATGTGGCCAAACTGCTTTCCCAAGGGTAATGGGCAGGTGGCATTTCTCAGGCGCTGGTCTTGGCTCTGAGTCACATTGTACATTCTCACACCGGAACACAGTGGATGGCAACATTTATCATGTCCAAAGAGGTTTCAAAAAAAATTACATGTCCTGAGCAGCCTTGGGAACAGTTCATGAGAAGACGTCAGGTTGTATGCTGGTTGGCCCTGCGAATGTTCCCAGCGACCCCCGTGCCGTAAGCACTTCAGCTGAGCCAGCCGTTGGCTGTAAAGGGGCCAAGGAGAGCTATGTAGCTCTCTGCCGCAGGACGCTTGCCACTGAGTCAAGCAGGCGAGGCCCACAGCCCCAAGACTGTGCATTTTAGACTTGTTAGTAACTCCTCAAGTCAAGACTTTTTAACACTTGATGATTAATGGAGCTGGAGTTACGGCCCTGCGGGGTTCCAACAGCTGGTCTCCCCAGCGCTGGATTAGTTTATTAAAAGAGAAGTTACGTTTTCATTCAGGGATGCAACATAAGGCTCTTAACAACTGAGTGCAAATGTAAAGAACCCAGTGGAAAATTCATAGCAAGAGCTAAAGGAATTGTTTTGTATTCGCTTGTAAATCTTCACCTGCTACCGGTCACTGAAAAGTCACCCAGCCCGGGCTTCTCCACCTTCTTCCCCGGGTCTCAGGGCTTGCCCAGAGCATCTGTAGTGTCAGGGCCTCCGGGCGCTGCCCTGAAAGCCAGCCTTTCTCCTGCAGGCAAAGAGCCTTCGGCTCCCTGGACTTCCTGCTCTTTGAGTCTCCCAGGTACCCAAAGGTGTGATTTCTGGCTGTCCAGGTGCCCACCTTTCTGCTTGGCCCAAGATGCAAAAACTTCTGGAAAGAGCACTCTTGCTATACAAGGCCTGCGAGTTATAACTGAGCCACCTGATACTCTCTTCTTTTTGTTTCGAATATCTGTTTATGTGAAAGTCTGAGAGAAAGGAAGAGGCATTAGAGAGATCTTCCATTGATTCCCTCCCCAGATACCCACAACTGCAAGGTCTGGACCAGGCTGAAGTCAGGAGCCAGGAACTCCATCCCAGTCTCCCACATGGGTGCCAGGGGCCCGCGCACTTGTGTCATCTGCTACCTTCCCAGGCGCATTAGCAGAAAGCTGGATCAGAAGTGGGGCAACTGGGGCTGTAGTTGGCACTGCAGGATGGGATGCACATGTCACAAGCAGCTGGATCACAGCGCTGGCCCCTTGATTATTTTTCCCCCCAAATAAGAAGGTTCTCCTCTTAAGCCAAGATAGCTTTTGTATTTCGCTTTTGCAAGTCATGCCATGCTTCATTCTTTGGGCTCTATAGTTTTACAGCTTCACCCATGAGACAGGCTACACATGTCAAAGGAACCAGATGGGAGCTCTCGACGGTCTACTCTTAGCTGTGTATTTGTGGTTGTTCTTACTCTGAAAGCGGCTCGTGCATGAGGTAAAATTCACAGGCACTGAAAGATACTCAAAGGCTCCATCTGCCCCATTCCTGCCTCTGTGTCAGCCATGGTCAGCAGGTGCTAAACACCTCCAAAGTGGTAACCAAACTCTACACACTCAAGGATTCAGTCTCAAGTGGCCATCTCTTTTGTTTCATTGTTTTTGTAAAAAAAATTATTTGAAAGGCAGAATGACAGAAAGAGGAAGAGACAAAGAGAAGATCTTCCATCACTGGTTCACTCTCCAAATGGCTGTGACATTTGGGGGTGGGGTCAGGAATGCCATCCATGTCTCCCACTTGGGTGGCAGGGTTGCAAGCACTTGGGCCATCCTCCACTGCCTTCCCAGGAGCATTATCAGGGAGCTGGATCAGAAGTGGAGCAGCCAGGATCCAAACCGGCACTCATATGGGATGTCAGTGTTGCAGGCTGTGGCTTAACCAGCTATGCCACAACACTGGCCCCGGAAGTGGCCCTCTGCCACCATTAAGTCTTTGGGCTGAAGACTCTGTGCTTATCCTTTACTAAATAACTCTAAGTGCCTAGTTAATTCTTTCTTTCTTTTTTTTTTAAAGATTTTATTTTTATTTATTTGACAGGCAGAGTTACAGACAGTGAGAGAGAGAGAGAGAGAGACAGAGAGAAAGGTCTTCTTTCTGTTGGTTCACTCCCCAAGTGGCTGCAATGGCCGGCACTGCGCTGATCCTAAGCCAGGAGCCAGGCGCTTCCTCCTGGTCTCCCTTGTGGGTGCAGGGCCCAAGGACTTGGGCCATCCTCCACTGCCCTCCCGGGCCACAGCAGAGAGCTGGACTGGAGGAGGAGCAACCAGGACTAGAACCGGCGCCCATATGGGATGCTGGCGCTGCAGGTGGAGGATTCACCTAGTATGCCACAGCGCTGGCCCCTCATTAATTCTTTCATACACATGTACTTATTCTTGGTTAACCCTAAGTGAAAATGATGGAAACCCTGGGCGCAGAGCCCTTCCTCCCGGGCATGATCGCCTGGCTTCCTCCCAGCTGGAGGGCACAGGACTTCCCGTGTGTAAATGAGTCTTTCATTCCGGTCAGTTTCCATGGAAGAGTATATTTTCAGGGCCAGTCTTCACTGGCCCATTCTCTCTATCGGGAAGCACTGTCCTGGTTGCAGGGAAGTATCTTGAAATGAACCTGAATGTAACAGGGAAGGTGAGACCGACAAGTGGCTTATTTACAGACATGTTGCTGGGTGTGCAAACATTTCATTTCTGGCTCATCTCAGTCAGAGACTAGGCTGGGGGGCTCCTGCTGAGCCAGGAATTACTTTGAATGTTGTGTGAGGTTCTCTTTGTGTGGAAGAAGAGCTG